AGCAGGGAGCCCGATGCGGGACTCGATCCCAGGACCCTGGGATCATGACCTGAGCTGAAGGCAGATGCTTAACCAACTGAGCCACCCAGGCGCCCCAGTAGTTTTCATTTCTATAGAACTTTATAAAGAAGGGCTTTCATTAGCCCTGGTCTACATTCCATTGAGATTCTTGCCTGGTAAATAGTGAGCATGGTATTCATTCACTAGGGCTAACATAACCAAGTACAAGAGACTGGGTGACTTCAACAACAGAAATTTATTTCCTCATACTCCTGTAGGCCAGAAGTTAGAGAGCAAGGTGGCTACAGATTTGGTTTCTCCTGAGAGGCTCACAGATGGCCACCTTCTTCCCATGGCCTCACATGGTCTTCCTTCTGTGTGCGTCTGAGTTCTCATCTCCTCTTTTTATACCCACACCACTCATACTGGATTAGGGCCCATCCTGTATGACCTCATTTTAACTTGAATAGCTCTGTCTCAAATATGGTCACAGTCTGAGGTATGGGGGGCTAGGACTTCAACATATGAATTTGGGGAGGGGGACAATTCAGCCCATAACAGGAGGTGGGCAAGTGGTTAAGTGAAAGAGCAAGTGTGAGGGTTTCACCTTTGTTCCCTGTGGTGACAAAGCTTTGCTTCCTCCACTTGTCCATCAGTCCGTCCACCTGCAGTCTCTGGCTTCCCTCTCTGGCCCATCGCATTGACACTTAATATTTCAGAGGAAAACCTCCAAATAGCTGCCTCTTTGCAGCTCTCCATTACACTCCACCCCCTTCACCTGCCTTTCTGAGCATCCCCTTCTGCTGCAGATGGCAATATCCTCATGTCACTGTACAGTCTGCTCTTTAGCGTATTCATGTCTTTACCTTAATCAGCCAACATATTGTCCCCAGAGGACAGCCCGTGTCACCTGCCTTGCATTTCGTTGTGGCCTGACCTCCTGGTGGAAGGAGGCAGGTGGAGAGGAGGTTGCTTTGCTTTTGGATGTCCTAAGTCTTCTTTAGAAGAGAGACCATCACCATCAGTCGGGGTCTCAATATTTGAGATGTGTTGCCTTCCCCAAAGTCCTCCCATAACCCTGTCACCCTCCCTCGAGGACCACCGTGGTCATCCTCTGATCTGCTTCTCCACCTCCTTTCCAGCTGTAACTCGGGAGAACTTCAGCCTCCACAGCAGGGACCCATGTGACATCATTACTTTGTGGCTCCAGCCCCCCGCACAGAAGCTTCTGTCCCACTGCATCAGTCACCAAACCCCCGCCCCTCCGTAGAGCCTTACCCTCAGTCTCCTTGTCTTCACCTGTGTCCAGGCCCTACCCCATAGAGAAGATATAGGCTAGTCAGGTTTGCATTTTTAGAGGGATCTTTACTTATCACATGACAGGTGGGCCCATGAGAGTATCCCCGAGCCAGGGACCTACCTAGGGTACAAAGCTTGGGCAGCCCAAGCCTCTCAGACAAATGTCTCATTTTTCTTCTCTTAGCACCTGTTATGCCATGAATATCTGAAAGCCTTGTACAGTGCAGAGCAGAAAAATAGTTTGTCCCCCAAACCACTAGATAGGGAAAAGAAAAAGAACCCAGAGGATGCAGAACAGTGCATGCCAAACCAGCAAGTCAAGAGTCCAATCTGGACCTTTTCCCCTTGGTTGTGAGTAATAGGATTTGTCCTAAACCCGTGGATGTGTACACACTCTATAAGGCCCTGTTAGCACTTAGAATCACAGGACCACCTAGATGTGGTCTTGAACTTGGAGCTTCCACCTTTGATTACAGTCTCTTTGTCAGTCTACTAGTTTTCTTCACCAACTTACATACTTTATATCTTCCTGTCTTTCTCCCCAGAGCAGAATAGAAGCTCCCAAGAGGGCTAGGATTTTTGACCAATTTGTTCATTGCTATATCCCCACACCTAAAATAAGTTGTTGCTGTTGTTTGAAACAGGGTTGCTTTTTTAAAATTGGGATTGCCAAGGTTTCAACTGTCTCAGCTTCTTCCTTCTACTAGCTTCCTTCTGAGGACTTTCTGTCCAGCCTGTGTACTGGGTCAGCCGTCCCATGCTGTTCTTACTCGACATTCCAGATTCCTCTGCCATTTGACCCTACAAGGTCCATTCCTATGCATAACGATTACCAGCATCTGCTTTATGCCATTTGTGTTTCCCTGAGCAGAGCATCACTGGAGACTCTTAACAGAACTGTCCCAAACTCACCCCCGATAGGGAGGCTAGACCCTCCTGGCTGCCTATTGATTCTTTTATTCACCTCATTATCTTCCTGGTGTCCTTTTCATCTTTCCTGCTTGCTTTAACCTCTTAATCTTACAGCCTTTCCACCCTCAAAAGGTAACAATTTGAACTTGAGGAAGAACTTTCAAGACATACCATCAAAATCCCCTTACCAGTTTGTCATGCCATTTCCATTCCTCCATCTCAGGGCACTTTGGACACATTCTCATTGTTCCTTCCTGTTCTGAGAGGAAAAGCTACCCATCCTCACAACCTGGGTCTGGGGGTCTCAGCTTTGTGCAGGTTCCCCTAAATGATCCCCTTGCTCTCTTGCCGTCCTGCATTGCCCTCTGTGCTGGTGGGGAGTGATTCTCTTCTCTCTCAAGTGTGTAGTGATTGCCTCTAGCCGGAAGACCAAGTTGTCTGTGTAGCCTCTACTCCATCCACGTGAAACGGTCGCTCCTGTTCACTTCATTCTCTTAAGCATTGACGTGCTGCTTCTGCATTCACTTTTCACCACCTCCCCCCTGGGTTCTCCTCTGACTTCCCACAACTCTGGCTTCTGTGCCCCATGGTTTCCACTCTCTGTTGTACTTTCTCCCAGGCACATTAAATTAATCACAAATCCTGTCAGCCCTTCTCTGTTCTGTTTCTAATACCCTTCCTTCCCCACTCATGGCAACCATTAACTTTGAACCAGTTCTCTGGTTTACATTAAGTTGTTAGTGTGGCCTCGTGATTGATTTCTAATGTACCCTGCAAAGCTCTGCAAAATTAATCTTGCTAAAATTCGTTTCACCATTTGATTCTTCCATTCAAAAATCTTCAAAGACTTTGCCTATTTATGGGATAAAAAAAAGGCCCAGTCCTTTAGTTTGTTTTAGGTCAGTCAACTGTAGTCATTCTACTCTATGCCAAGAAACCTCTAGAAAAGAGGTTCAACTTCCTACCATTTTTCTTCTAACCCACTTCCCAACCAAACTCCAGATTCTAGCAGAGAATTCACACCTTTGCACATTTTTTCCAGAGGCATTGTCCCCAAATGAAGCCACCATCTGTGCCCCTGCTGCCCGCCCCCACCGCCAGTTCTATGCTTCGACTAACTCTCCACTCATCCTTCTCTATCCATTCACTCAGTAGCTATTAATGTAACTCCTAATATTTACCAGGTACTGCCCCAGATGCAGAAGACACAGAGGGGAACAAAATGGTCTCAAGTTCCAGCTCTTCTGGACCTTATGTTCTAGTCCTGGGAGAAAGACAATAAACAACTATCTGGAAAGAAAGTCAATAAACAAAATATTTGTCTCCGTGGCACTGACACACATAGCTATCTGTTGGTAATGAGAGCCAAGAGGAAGATGAATCAGGGAAGGAGGAAAGAGAGGTCAGAGGAGGCCTCACTGAGAACACAGCCTTGAGGCAGATAACCTGGGGTGTGGTGTGAGAGGGAGCCTCCCGGATGTCTGGTGGAAGGGGGCTGGCGGGGGGAGGAAGAGCAATGTGGATTCTCAGGTACAGCATGCGTGGTGTGCTCGGGTCCATTGAGGAAGCCAGTGTGGCCGAAGCGAGTGAGCAAGGGTTGTAAGTGAATGAGCAAGTGGTGGGAGGTAAAGGCCAGACTCTGAGGAGTTTTCAATGCCATTGCTCACATTTTGGCTCTTCCTCCACATGAGATGAGAAGCCCTTCAAGGGTTTTGAGCAGAGGAGACATCACGATGTGCTTAACATTTAGAACAATCGCTCTGGCTGTTGTGCTGAGAATATACTAACAGACCAAGGTGGAGGCAGTGGAATCCAGTTATTACTGTAACAAGTCAGACAGGGTGGTGGAGGTGGTGTGGGCCAGGATGATAGTGGTGGAGGTGGTGGAAAGAGGTCAAATTCTGTTAGTATTTTGAAGGTTGAGCTGACACAGTTGCTGACAGATTGGATGTGGGGTGTGAGAGAAAGGAGGAGAAGTACCCAGGGGGACTTGGAGGTGGGTGAGGAGTTGAGTCTTGACATGTCCTATCAGTGAGGTTCATTCTCACCTAAGTGGAGATAAAAGTAGGCACTCGGAGAGGCTCACAGAACAGGCCTGAGCAGTTCAACCCATCAAGACCTGTCCCGTCTGTACACTTCTAGAACCTCTCTCATCCATCACGCTCACTTGATAATACACGAATTGTCCTGTGACACCTATTATGTTCTCACTTTGTATTATTTCACTCTCCTGTGACTTAAGTACCTCTGTGTTCCCTTTGTCTTCCTATAAAGAGCTTAACTTCCTTGTGGGCTGGGCCTACACAGTCCTGTTTCATTCAAATCCTGTAGCACATGGCACACTTTTAGCTACTCCGTAGGCAGGCAAGACTGTACGGCTGGGCAGCCTCACTACCCCCAACTTTGGAAAACCAGCATGTTCTGACTGTCTCTTGTTCTCTCCTCTGCAGGCCACTATGTCCACGGCATCTGTATCTATGGAAACGGAGACTTGAAGTGGTTGATTAATTCACCCAGTCTCTTTGCTAACAAGTTTGAGCTTTCCACGTACCCCCTCACCGTGGAATGCCTCGAACTGAGGCTTCGAGAAAGAACCCTAAATCAGAGTGAAACAGTAATACAGCCCAGCTGGTATTTCTGATCCACTGTAACACGGGCTCGACGGGCGCTTGCAGCTGGGAAGAAGAGCCTTTCTCTGTGAGAGAACTTTGCCTTGCTTATGTGAATCGTTGCCAGAACGAGGTTATGGCTGCAGGACCTGGCCATGTTATTCTGTGTGCAGCCATCCACTGGACACTGTGAACTCCACTATCGGGATGGCTGCACAGGGCCATGCTGGCATTTTGGCCACAATGGCAGCCTCCTGATGCTCCTTCTGCGTCAGGCTAACTCTCTGATCAGTGATCAACTGAACTGATGTCAGACCTCTGCACCGGATACTCATTATAGAGAAATGTTCTCATGAAAAGGAGAACTGTAGATAATACTGTTTAGGAAAATAGCAGTTGTGTTTCTTTGAAGGAATCTTCTATGACGGATCTATAGCCACACATCCGTGGACACCACTCCTCTTTGCTCAGCCACACGTAGGCATAGAAACAACTTTCTGGGCAACTCAGCAATCTCCTTTACAACTGGAGCTACCAGAAGGGAGAACTAGATCTTGTTCCCGGGTTTCAACACTAGCCTTCCCCGTTTACTGTGTCTGAAGTCCTGTATAGAATGTGGCCACTACCTCCTGTTTCTGCAAAGGAATCCCAGGGAAACAGGACATTTCTTGTGGTGTGTCAGAATGCTCACTAGTCCCTCTGCCATTGCTTTCCATGGAGAACGCTGAAACGTTCCCACAGAATGAAGATATTTCTAGAAGAGAGGTGCTGTTGCATGAATCTTGTTCCAGGTCTCTAACCTCAGAATGAATCACTTTCCTCTTCGGTCACCACCCTCCACCCCCACCAAAGTGATCTTACCTGCAAAATGGAGTCCAAATTCTACGCCATGAAGGCTTTAAGGACTCCAGAGGATTTTGAGTAGCTTATTCTCAGAGAGTATTCTCTGAGTAGCTTTACAATGCTTAGTGCTGATAAGAGTGCCTAGATTTTTAAGAGCTTTCCACTGTGTCACTTATCCCTTGTGCTTACACTTACCCCTTATCCTTTATCCAATTCATTCACTCAGCATGCAGTCAATAAATATTTCTTGAGTGCCTATTGTATACCAGACCCATTTGACACAAGGAGAAAATGAAGAGAGAAGCTTTTTCACTCTAAAATTCTTGGTCATAGCATCAACGTTGGAAAGGCTGCTCTAGAGAATCTCACGGATTGCTTGTATTTTAATGCATTCATATGCAGAGTTATAGACTGGGATATCAGGCCAAGAATATGAGTAATTAGAAGTCGAGGTCTAGGGGCGCCTGGGTGGCTCAGTTAAGCGTCTGCGCTCGGCTCAGGTTATAATCCTGGAGTCTTGGGATTGAGCCCCATGTCGGGCTCCCTGCTCACTGTGGAGTCCACTTCTCCTCTGTCTCTCTGCCCCCCCCACTCGTTCTCTCTCTCTCAAATAAATAAATAAAATCTTAAAAAAAAAAAAGAAATCAAGGTCTAAATCAGAGATCATTCCAAAGGGAGAAAGGAAGGAATAGACAGAAGCTAAATCCTGTTGTGTTGTAGGCATCCGAATAGCTCCCTTATGGCTCATTGCATTAACACCTTACAGCACTCTTGGGAGGCTCACATGATTACCTCCATTTTGCAGATGAAGTAAGTGAGGCTTAGAGAAGTTGTTAATAAGCATGAGGAAACGAATTCTCTGAGGATTGGGATGTTCTTACTGGTCTCAGTTCAGTTTCCTGAGAATATTTAGAGAAGGTGAAATAAAGCCATATTTAGTATAACAGAGAGGGTAGGTTTTAAGAATGGTCTCAGTGTTAATATGAGAAAATGTGCTGTCACCTCAGAAAAATGTGAAGTCTACTTTTGTACTCCTAAATCCATTGAGTTCCTTAATATTTATTTATTCTAACAAAAAAAAAAGTTACTACAACTAATGATACCTTTAATTCACACTATTTTTATTCTTTTTTTCTGTGACTGTGCCTGTTGAATGTTAATCGTATTTAAGGGAATGCCTTTGAAATAAAGCCTTTTTTCCCTGCTACTGAAAAAGATGGAGCTGTACAGAGTGGTAAAGGCTTGAAGCGTAGGGAACACACCCAGAGCTAATGGTGGAGTCTAAGAATCATCTTTTTTTTTCAACTTCTTTAAATGACCCCACCCGAGAAGAAATGTTTTACACTGGATCTTTCTCATCTAGAACGAGAACTCTTTTGGAATAGAAGATGTTTACATGTCTGTTGCTGGTCATCTCTGTGTCTTAAATACTTTAATATTGGAAGATTGTAGTGTTTGGGCAAGTGGGTTTCCGCTAGCCCATGGGGATGGCTGAAACTACTAAATCCGTCCTTGTTTGCAATGATGGTCCATGTTGTTATCTTGGAAATAAATTAATATATTGTTTTCACCTTTGGGGCTATTGTGTATTTTTATCTGATGGTTGGTTAATATCCACTAAAGACCATGTTTAACAAGGTAATTCTTCAAGCATTTTTACAAAAAAAATAAAAACAGAGGGGTGCCTGGCTGGCTCAGTCAGTGGAGCACCTGACTCTTGACCTCAAGGTTGTAAGTCTGAGCCCCATGTCAGGTGTAGAGATTACTCAAAAATAAAATCTTAAAAAAAAAAAGTACAGGGGCGCCTGGGTGGCTCAGTCGTTAAGCTTCTGCTTCAGCTCAGGTCATGACCCCAGGGTCCTAGAATTGAGCCCCACATTGGGCTCCTTGCTCGGCGGGAAGCCTGCTTCTCCCTCTCCCACCCTCTCTCACTGTGTCTCTCTCTGTCAAATGAATAAATAAAATCTTTAAAAAAAAAAATACATAGGGACACCTGGGTGGCTCAGTAGGTTAAGCATCTGCCTTCAGCTCAGGTCATGATCCCAGGGTCCTGGGATCGAGTCCCCACATTGGGCTCCTTGCTCAGCAGGGAGTCTGCTTTTCCCTCTGCCTGCCACTCCCCCTGCTTGTCTCACTCTCTCTGACAAATAAATAAATACATACATACATAAAAATAATTAAACTTCTAATTTTAGAATAGCTTTAGTTTTATAGAAACTTTACAGAAAAATTGCAGATAGTACTGAAAGTTCGCATATACACCCCACTCAGTTTCCCATTATCAACATAGTACATTAGTATGGCACATTTTATTTAGATTTCCTAAATTTTTACCTAATGTCCTTTTTTGGTTCCAAGATCCCATCTAGAATGCCATATCATGTTTAGTCAACAGACTTCACTGGGCTATGACTTTCTCAGACTTCTCTTGTTTTGATAACCCTGACAGTTTTGAGGGGTACCAGTTGGCTCTTTTGTAAAGTGCCCCCCTCAATTTTGTCTCATGTTGTGCTCATTATTAGATTGGACTTTTGGGTTTGGAAGAGGAAAACCACAGAGGTGAAGAGCCAGGGTCCATTCTTTCTACATGACTTAATCAGAGTTGAGGCTAACCTTGATCACCTGACTTAAGTACTGTTTGTCAGTTTTCTCCACTGAAAAGCTACTCTTTTTTCCCCTTTCCATACAGTACTCTTTGGAAGGAAGTCACTATTCGCAACCTGTATATAAGGAATAGGGAGTTATGCTCCACCTTCTTTGGAGTAGAATACCTACATAAATTATTTAGAATTCTTCTATAAAGGAGATTTGTCTCTTTTCCCCAATTTACTTATTAAAAAATCTGTTTACATCAACGTGGGCTCATAGATGTTTATTTTAAACTTCAGGTTATAATCCAATACTACCTTGGTCACCTGGGTGGCTCAGTCAGTTAAGTGTCTACCTTTGGCTCAGGTCATGGTCCCAGGGTTCTGGGATCGAGTGCTGTGTCAGGCTCCCTGCTTCCCCTCTGCTCGTGGCCTCTCTCTCACTCTCCCTCACTCTCAAATAAATAAAATGTTAAAAAAAATAAATAATCCAGTACTACCTTTTTTTTCTCCAATTGTTCCAGCTATGGCCATAGGTAGTTCTTTCAGTCGGCTCCAAGTCTTTGACACATTCCCATCACTGTGGGTTTTTCCTTGAACACTTTCTTATTTTCTGGCATTGCAAGATGCTCCAGTCAAGCCTCTCTTACTATTCCCTTATTCAGTTTTGAGGATAAATGACAAGTATAATAGCCATGGCATGAGAAGTACATGGTGATCAGAGGCTCAGACTCTCAGATGAGGGTCTGGGTCACCTCACCAAGTAAGCCATACAGACTAGCAGAGGTGCTAGTGAAGGATATGGGGAATCTGAAATGGGAAAGAGAAGAAGGAGACACTGGGTATCTGTTATGACTTCAAGACCAGCTGCAGTGCTGGAAGCTGTAGGTCATTCCACTAATCTTCCCTTTATAAGTTTTCCCCAAGAAAGGACACTCACAGGATTTGGAGGAGCTGCTCTCTCAGTTTATAGGACGAAATTGATCCAAGCTGCTCAAGTGTGGATGGTGCACTGGACAAATGCGATCTTCTCAGGACTGAAGCTGTCAGCCTTCCCTGGAAATTACTCTCATCTGGGGTCAGCCTACACCCAATGCCAGGAGGGTGTGGGGCTATAAAGGCCCAATGCCCTCACCTTAACTTGGGCCCATAGCACCTGATGAGCTCTCTGGGGTGGAACGAGGCCTTATTTTTATTGTGTCACAGCCCAGCTTCTTTCCTTAATCCTAATCCCTTCTCTTCCTCCATAAATACTGAATGTGAAGAGCTCCCTTGCACACTAATCATTTTAGAGCCTGATTTTTGGAGAACCTCACCTGTAACATGTTCCCCACACAAAAGATGATACAAAACTGTACCTATATTTTCTTTTTTAACTTTCATACTTGTTTTTTTTTTTCTTCTCTCTCTGTTTAACTATTAAGGATTTTAGCCATCTTTGTCATATGATTTCAGGTAGGCACCTAAATTCTTATTCTGCTAAGGAAAACCAGTTATCCCAATACCTTTCCCCCATTACTTTGAAATGCCAATATGATTATGTATTAAATTCTCATATATTTGGGAGTTTTTCTGGAATCTATTCTGCTCTACTGATTTTTTTGTTGATCCACATGCCAAAATTGTATTTCAAAAATTACAGTAAATCTCTGCTCTGTGGCAAGACAAAGAATCCCTTACTGCTCTTTTTCAACATTTTCATGGTAATTTTTGCTCATTTACTTTCAGGCAAATGTTAGAAACAGCTTATCAAATTCCTTGAAAAATCCTGTCAGGATTTTAATGGAATTTGCACAGAATTCATATCGATTAATTTTGAGGTAATTATACCTTGACAATATTGATCTGTAATATGTCTATTTATTCAGGCCCCCTGTTGTGTATTTTACTAATATAGTTTTCTTATGCAAGTCTTGCACATATCGTTATTATTAATTGCCTGTATTTTTTTAAAAGATTTTATTTATTTATTTGACAGAGAGAGAGAGAACACAAGCAGGGGGAGTGGGAGAGGGAAAGCAGGCTTCCTGCAGAGCAGGGAGCCCAATGCGGGGCTCAATCCCAGGACCCTGGGATCATGACCTGAGCCAAAGGCAGACGCTTAACGACTGAGCCACCCAGGCGCCCTTAATTGCCTGTATTTTAAAGAGTTCTTTGTGCTTACTGGGAATGGGTTTTTTATTTTTTATTTTTTATTTTTTGGGGGAATGGGAGTTTTAAAATATATTTGTTTTGTTGTTGGTAGCATAAAGAAAAACAATTGATTTTGATCATGTTTGTGGATTTTATTAAACTTTTTCATTATTCCTAATAGTTTCTCATTGTGTTTTCTTTTCTTCTTTTCTTTTTAAGTAGGCTCAACACCCATCATGGAGCCCAATGTAGGGCTTGAACTCACACCCCGAGATCAAGACCTGAGCTGAAATCAAGAATTGGACACCCAACCAATTGAGCCACCCTGTGGTCTTCCTCTTCCAAACCCAGAAGTCCAATCTAATCATGAGCAAAACATGAGACAAAACCAGTGGGGCACTTTACAAAATAGTCCACTAGTACCCCGTCAAAATTGTTAAAGTCATCAAAATGTGTTCTCTAATAGTTTCTCAATCTATTATACCTCACATTTTCTGAAAATTATCTATAAATACCAGTTTTGCCTCTTCCTTCCCAAAATTAAATCATCTTGTTTCTTTTTTATTTTTGTCTTCTTACATTGGCAGAAATTTGCAACACAATTTTAAAGGGTAGCAATGATAGCAGGTACCCTTGAGTTGTTCCCAACATTAAAGGGCATATTAACTCTTGTGCATGATGTTGGAGGTTTGATATAGGTTTCTGGTAGATACTCTTTATTGAAAAGAATACCAGAAAATAAAGATACATTGAAATATATTATGACTCTAATATATATATATCCCAGTTGCTATCTCTTTTTTTGTTGCATGATACAATTATGGGTGACTAGTTTTTAAAATTTTTCTTTGCATATATTACTTCAAAAAATGAGGATAAAAAGTCACTACTCCTAAACTTTTTAAACAGTAAGAATTTAGTATAGTAGTTGATGTCAAGTGGGAAACTGGAGCAGGGATCCCTTTGAACAGACTAAGCAAACAGTTGAAGTTTGAGAAGACTACTAATGACTGAGCTGGAAGATTCCTTGTTGTAACTACTCCCTCTTCTGGTCAGGATGGCTTAGGGATTAAGCGCCAATGGGAAATAGACCAGAGGTCAACCTCTCAGAGCCAAGTTCTGACTTTGGCAAGAGAACCAACAGCAATATGTCTGAGAGGAGGAGGGTAAGAGGTGAAGTTGCCCATGCTCACTTTTCCATGAGGAACATCTACAAACTTAGAAGGTGGGGTACCCACTGTAGCTATCTGGAAGACTAACTTGGCAAGTCCTGTTGTGAGTCCAGGAAGCCTAACCTATATCTTGGGAAGGATCCTGGGGTCTATATCAGATAAGTGGGCTGAATGATCCAAAAATAAATGGTTCTTAAGAAAAGAGGACAGAATTCAGAAACTGATGGACAGCATCAAGTGTCAAACGGTAGAAGGGAATCTCGGGCTTAACTGTCATCAGGAGCTGAGGATATGAGGAGAAACAGTTAAGAAAGTTAGTGCAAGATTAAAGTGAATTATTTATGAAATTCAGGCCATTTATTTCAGCTAAAGTGAATTATTAGTGAACTTCAGGCCAGGTACACAAGGCAAAAATGTAGGGTTTTAGAGAGCTTCCTTAAAATTTTTTACTTTGAAATAAGGTTAAACTTAGAGAAAAAGTTACAAAAATGACAAAGAGTTCTTGTATATCCTTCAACCTGCTACTTCCAATGCTAACATCTTACATAATCAAAGTTTAATGATCAAAACCAGTTTGTTTGGTTTTTAACTCTGCGCCAGCTGTGTGTTGAGAGTTGTGGCCAGCTGACTTTTACCTTTGCACAGGACAGACCAGATGGTATGTCGTGAGTCCCAAT